AGATGATGGATGTACGGCTGGATGAATGGATGGATGAATGGATAATGAACAGATAGATGGACAGACAAACAATGGATGGATGAAGAATGATGGATGGATGATGGATGGACAGATGATGGCTGGATGAATGGATGGATGGATGATGGATAATAAACGGATGGAAGGATGGATGAAGGATGGATGGAAGGACCGATGAAGTATATAATGTATGTATGTACAGACAGATGAATGAATAAATGAACAAATGAGTGAAGAAATAAAAATGAATAAATGAATTAACAAATGAATGAATGAATGAAGAAATGAATGAATGAATGAATGCGTCTTGCTACAGAAAGTCACCTGAGCTCTCAGCTTTTGTTTTTCTGCCTCCAGAGACCCGAGATGAGCCGACAGCGCCATCATCACCTGCAGAAAGAACAATTTAAAAACAAATTAGATCTTAAAGTTTTTTCATTTAGTTTCTCAGTAAGTTTGATTTTCTGACTTCATGAAGCTGAACACTTTCAGTGGATCAGAACCAAACAGAGTCCACAGGACGGGCCTGAGTGTCGCCAACACTCAAGGAATTAGGACAACACGTTCAACTCCAGCATCAGAAGGCGAAGCAGCTTCTGCTGAACTTTAGCTGTGGACTCGGTACCTGCGCCTCGTTCAGGCCCAGCTCGATCCTCTCCAGCGACTGTCGGACGATGCCGCTCTTCTCCTGCTCCACGCTGCCGCTCTGCGACACCTCCTGTAGGTTCTCCAGCAGGCTGCGGTTCTCCCCCCTCAGCGCCTCCAGCCCGGTGATCACCTGCTGCGTGCTGCACAGAATCTCCTCCGCGGACAACATGGCCGCTGCTCCGAGGTGCCTCCTTGCGCTCCCACTGACCTATAAACGGCAGGAGGAGGACGACTGAGGTGGAGGAGGTGATTATAAAGATCAAAAAGTGAGATGAAGATGCCCTCTGGATCAGGGGTCCCAACCACTGGGCCAAGGACCAGTACCATCCATGGATCATTTGGTATCAGACTCAGGACGCAAAGTTTTTCCTAAACAAAAATTACAATTAATCAATTATAAATAATTTTAAGTAGATTGGTCTTGAGAGTATTTTATTTAGAAAAACTACTACTCTGTAGTTTTCCTGTTTATAGTTTTTCAGTTTTTATTTTTCTCTGTTGACAAACTGTTTCAGCAAACTTGAAGCTACTTTGGTCTTTAAAGTGTCAAAATATTCGGCTTGTTCAAGACTTCATTGTTATGACTTTTGGCATCGTTATCTTTTATATATTTCAATAATTATTTACCTTTTGTTTAATACAATGTTCTCCTTGAATCGTCACCTTATCGTGGTGGAGGAGTTTGTGCATCTGAAGGAGCTATGCTGTCGGGGGAAATTGTAATTACTCCTGGTAGGGTCTCCAAAGGCAGATTGGTTCTAGGTGAGAGGCCAGACAAAGAGCGATTCAGAAGACTTTGGTAGACCCAAACGTGTAGTGAGGGTTTGCTGGGAACGCCTGGAAGAAGAACCTATTAAAGAGATCTTCAACTCACACCTCTGGGGGAGCTTTAACCACATCCGAGCTGAGGCAGCCATGTTCCACACCTCAAATGTTGACGTAGCTACCTTGAACTGTGGATGCAAGGTTGTCAGTGCTTCTCACGGTGGCCATCCTCAAACTCAGTGGTGGACACCGCGGGTTAGGGAGGCTGTCAAGCTGAAAAAGGAGTCCTATCAGGACTTGTTGGCTGGTGGGACTCCAGAGGCAGCTGAGGAGTACCGGAGGGCCAAACAGTCTGCAGCTTTGGCTGTTGCTGAGGCAAAAGCTCGAATGTGGGAGAAGTTCGGCAAGGCCTTAGATAAAGACTCTCTGTCGGCTCCGAGGAGATTCTGGCAAACCAACAGGCAGCTGAGGAGGGGAAAGCAGCTCTTTACTAACACTGTGTTCAGTGAAGGTGGGCTGCTGTTGACATAAACAGTGACGTTGTTGGGAGGTGGAACAAATATTTCTCGGACCGTCTCAATCTCACTGGCACGTCTTTCATGGAGGAGGCCGAGTCAGGGGACTTAGGGATTGGTCTCTCCATAACCGTGGCTGAGGTCACTGTGGTAGTTAAAAAGCTACGTGGCAGCAGGGCTCTGGAGGTGGATGAGATTCACCCTGATTTCCTTAAGGCTCTGGATGTTGTTGGGCTGTCTTGGTTGGCATGCCTTTGCAACATCACATGGACATTGAGGGCAGTGTCACTGGAATGGCAGACTAGGGTGGTCCCCCTCTTCAAAAAGGGGGACTGGATGGTATGCTCCAATTACAGGGGCATAACTCTCCTTAGCCTCCCTGGTAAGGTCTATTCAAAGGTACTGGAGAAGTGAGTCCGATTGTTGGTCGAACCTCAGATTGGAACCCTGTGTACATAATTTAGTTCCGCCACGTGGTGCGAATGAGAATAAAGAATATCTGAATCTGAGATCCAGGAGGAACAATGCTGGTTCTGTCCTTGCCGTGGAACACTGGACTAGCTCTTTACCCTCACTAGGGTCCTCAAGGGATCATGGGAGCTTGCCCATCCAGTCTACATGTGTTTTGTGGATTTGGAGTAGGCTTTTGACCGTGTTCCTTGAGGTACATTGAGGGGATGCTCCCTGAGTATGGGATTGGGGGCTCTTTTCTATGGGCTGTTCGGTCCCTATACAAGTGGTGCAAGAGTTTGGTTCACATTGCCGGTAGCAAGTCGGACCCCTTAAGGATGGGAGTTGGACTCTGCCAGGGCTGCCCGTTGTCACAGATTCTGTTCATAACTTTTATGAACAAAATTTCTCAGTGCCGCCAGGGGATGGAAGGATTCTAATTTGGTGGCCTCAGGATTCCATCTCTGCTCTTTGCAGATGATGTGGTCCTGTTGGCGTCATCGTGCCGTGATCTCCAGCTCTCACTGGAGCGGTTCACAGCCAAGTGTGAAACGGCTGGGATGAGAATCAGCACCTCCAACTCTGAGGCCGTGGTCCTTGGTCATAAAAGGGCGAGTTGTTCTTTTCGGGTCGAGGGTGAGGTTCTGCCTCAAGTGGAGGAGTTCAAGTATCTCTGGGTTTTGTTCACGAATGAGTGAAGAATGGAACGCGAGATTGACAAACGGGTTGGTGCAGCGTCTGCAGTATTGAGGACTCTGTACTGGTCCGTTATGGTGAAGAGGGAGCTGAGCTGTAAGGCAAAGCTCTGTTTACCAGTCGGTCTACGTTCCTACCCTCACCTATGGTCAGGAACTCTGGGTAGTGACCGAAAGAATGAGACTGTTGATACAGGTGGTTGAAACGAGTTTCCTCCACAGGATAGCTGGAATCTCCCTTACAGATAGGGTTTAGAAGTTTAGTTATCCGGAAAAGACTCCGAGTAGAACCGCTGCTCCTCCATATCCAAAGGAGCCAGTTGAGGTGGTTTGGGCATCTGGTAAGGATGCTTCCTGGGCACCTCCCTCAGGAGGTGCTTTGGGCATGTCCAACTGGGAGGAGACCCCGGGAAAGACCCAGGACACGCTGGACAGACTACGACTCTCGGTTTAGCCTGGGAACTTATTGGGGTCCTCCCACAAGAACTGGAAGAGGGGGCTGTGGAGAGAGATGTCTGGGCCTCCCTGATCAAGCTGCTGCCCCCGTGACCCGACTTCGGAACAAGCAGAAGATGATGGATGGATGAATTTTCACTAAATAAATGCATCACAAACTCTTCAAAATCTTGAAAAAGCTTTTTAGCATACTTGCTACGTGTTTAGCTCTTATTTACTATTTTACCAGTTTTCTCTTCACCTATCGTTCTGCTAATTCTTATTTGTAGCTACTGGTCTGGTTATTTTAGCTTTCAGCTGCTGTTTAGCTCATTTGGCTTCTATTAGTTGTTTTTACTAAATTTAGAATTTAGCTACTATTTTGGTAATTTGATTTTTCGCAGCGGTTTAGCCAATTTTAGTTTTGATTTGTAAACCCAAGTGTTTATTTTGTAATTTATTGTCTTTATTTACCGTTTAGCTAGTTCTAGATTTTGTTTAGCTAATGATGGCTATTGATTAGTTAATTCTGGCTATTTGCTCCATCAGAAAACATGCTTTTAATATATTTTTTCTTTAACTTCTGCAACAACAACAACAACAACAACAACAACAACAACAACAACAACAACAACAACAACAACCCGTTTAAAAAAAAAAACAGTCTGCAAATAACGAGACACAAAACTCTTCAAAAACATCAACAATAAGATGCATTTTATAATCCAATCTGACAGATTTTGTCAAATTTATGTTTTCCCTAATCTTAGCAGCCATTTGAAGAGAATATCATTAAAAGTACTCATTGTAATGTCATGGACTAGTCATAAAACAAACAAACAAAACCATTATTCTATAAGTATGGAAACAGTAAAAATGACTGAATAAAATGTTAATGGCCAAAATCACACCCAGAAAGATCTGGGGAGAAGAAGTCTGTCAGCGTTGATGTATTTGTACATTTTAATGCAAATGTTTGTTGATTAAGAGAAATGGGGGTTTGTTTACATTGAGTGCAGACCAGCATGTCAATATAAATATTATATAGAAATACTAAAAGTGCACCACTTGATCCTGAATTCAGGATAAGCTTTTTACGTTTGGTGTCAAACTTTAAGAATAGCGTCCATAAGTTGTAATGTTACGTTTTACAGGTGTTTAAAGGTGTTTAAGACACCTGCGCCACTGACACCAACCTAACTTAACGCAAAAGTGCGTCACTCAACGAGTCAAGTTTACACAACAAAACGTTGTTTGTGAGGGGTAATAACCGGAACTGCAGCTAAGAAAAACAACATAACGGTTTATTAATCTGCTCTAAAAATCTTCACAGAGATGGAGACGGACTGGGGCTTGTCCCAAAACAAAACAAGGTCTTTTTAGCCTACCTGCTGACTTCAGGCTCCGATGTCGCCCTTTTTATTAAACCGATTTAAACCGATTTGTAGTTTATGTTCGGGGACAAAACGAACGCGTTAGCAACAACGGAACACCTGCGCTCACAGTTTTACTAAATTAATTGGATGTTGAACAGGTGAGACGATGAAAACGCCAAGTTGTAAATCATTCACCTGTCGCGTCTGCTGCTCCTCCTTTCACAAAACGGCTAATAGCATCAAGCTAACAGTAGCAACACTAACACTTCCGCTTTGTTTATTCAAAATAAAAGTCTTAAGAACGTGTACTAGCAAGATGATTAATTTTATTACAATAACTATTTATTTATTAGTCATTTTCTTCTTATGTTGTAAACTTTTTTTTTATGTCAACATAGTGTCTAATAATTAGTGCAATGTGTATTTTTTTTTTTCAAAATATCTGTTTCTGAGTTTCAAAAATAGTAAACAACCGGGGAGCCAGGTCACAAAAACCATAATTTCAATTCAGTTCAGTTTATATAGCACCAAGTCACAGCAGAAGTCATCTCAGGGCCCTGCACAGAAACATTCACATCCATAAAAAGTCAGTTAATATTTATCTAAGGAGCCAAAAGATTGTTGTGAGTCTTCACTTAGTCGCAGTCTCCCATCCTAAGCAAGCACAGAGGCAACGGTGGAAAGGAAAAACGCCCTCATAAGGAAGAAACCTCCAGCAGCTCAGGACAAGCAGCCTGCATCTGTTTCATCCGGCTGGGCCCGAGAAGACAGGAAGGAGAAACTAACACACAATGTCAGGCGGAGGCAAGCAGGTTCCCTCTAGGAGGAAAGAGAAAAAAGACAAAACCAAAAACATACTCATACATGTCTGCGACCACGACAAATAAAAGGCGGACACATTTAAAAGTGACTACTGATGGCATTTAGATACCTGATTTAGACTTTTTAATAGTAAGTTACGAACTGCAGCTCAACCACGTTGCTTTTATTTTGAAGGGAAAGTCTTATGGCTTCCTGTAAGTTGACGCCATTCATTTGAAAGACGCAGGATCTGCAGAAGCTTACCTGATCCCATATTTCCCATCATACACTGCGGCGCCTGGGACTACTCCCTCTATCGGACAGAGACGTGAACTGCAGGTGAACGCAGACAACAAAGGACCGCTCAGACCATCAATAAGCTTTTAAACACAATTTAAGTGTTTATTTAAGTTAATTCAGCAATAGAAAATAATAAATTATAGGTATAGCTTTTTATTTAAAAAAATTTTTTTTAATTTAAATTTGACCTTGTTGCATTTTTAAACATAATTTCATATATCCAACAAGGTTAAATCAGGTCATCTGG